TTTATCAATTTTATTATTTAATTTGATTTTTTAATGAATCATTTCATTTTTAATCAATTTAAATCAAATAAAATCCAAACATTGATTATTTGATCTCTTTTTGGCTATTTCAGGATTGAATCATCATCATCAAGTGAATCAAATTCGTATCATACATTCCATGTGCAAAAAGATTGGATTTTTGGCAAAATTGGAAAGTTATCAATGGTGAATCAAATTGAATCTCAAAGCATTCATTTGGAAGGATTCAGCTCACATTTGTTGACCTAATACATTGCCTCATACTTATACAAGCCAAAGCACACGAGATCAAGGGGTAGAGGCTGCAGAATCATCAAAAGCAAAACTTGAAAAATTGCTAAAAAGTGTGAAACTGAAATCCTTCTTAGAGGCGTTTTCAAGGGCAAATCTCAACACCAATCCATTGCTGGGTATCCACTGAATCTCCTACAATCAAAAGCAAGCTCTCACACCCTCTCAATCGCGTTGTAAGTATCTCAAAATACCGCCCTGTGTTCGAAATCGAAACTCAACATTCTTGCATTTTCTTGGCAAATCGTTGACATATTCATGACCCCTGTTCAATTTACAAGCTTTCTGCATTATTTGATTGCATTTATATGGCCTGTAACCCCCTAGCCGAACCTAGGGTTTTGTAGTTTGTATTTTGGGCATTTCGTTTTCAGGCAAAATCAGTGCAATTAATGGACATGGACGTAACCAGGGGAGAGAGACGAGCATGACTATGGTCTTGGAATCAATTTCCATGGCCTAGAATTGATTTTAGGTTAGCCATGCGAATTTAGCTGCGGATACAAATCCGCAGGTAAATAACCAGGGTTGAACGAAGAAGATGAAGACGTGTCCCCCCCTTATTGGATAGTTCAAACTTGGCGCGTTTTCTTTTTTATTTCTGGCATATTATTGTTTTTTCCCTTATATTAATTGTTATCCAATACTATAACAAATGAAGCATAATGGTCCAGTGGTCAAGGGGAGCGCTCTCAAGGCATTGTTGGCTAGAGGTCAGGGGTTCGATCCCTGCCTCCAGCGCTTTACATTTTCTCTTATTTTATTATGCAATCAGGTACAAAGCAATAATGGAAGCCTACCATGGTCCTCAAATCTCAAAGCGCCAGATGGCCTCAGGCCAGATCTGGTGGTCCAGATGTGATGTCCACCATATGCCCTAGTCAAAGTGCCACGCTGGATTCCAAAAGTCAGCCAGGCCTGCATGTTAATGGGCCACAAAATTGCTATCAAGACCCCCTAATCAGGCCCAACCCTAACTCTTTCTCTTTTGTTTTATTATTTCTTTTATTTATTTATTGTTATTATTTTATTTTTTTAACTAACCAATTAAAACTTTTTTCTTAATAAAATCAAAAACCAAAAAATATTTTATTTGTTAAATTTAATTTCAGTATTTTATTTTTATTAATAACATTAAATTAATTAATTTAGTTTTAATTAGGAATAACTTTAATATTTTGTGCAATAATTAAAATTAATTTAGACAATTAGGTTTTATTAACTTTGATCAAATTTATTTTTATTTCCTTAAATACAAAAAAACCAAAAATATTTTTATTAATTAATTAGTTTATTAATTTAATAATTTAACTTAATTTAATTCCTTTTTAATTCAAAAATAACCAAAAATTCTTTTCTCAAAGGGTCAAAATCCTAAAAAAACTTGCGCCCGATTTAATTTCCCGCACGCGATCCATTTTATTTCAATATTGTATTTGTTTCCAGGAATGTAATAGTTTAATAGGACTTTACTATTTTTCTCGCTTTATTTATTTTCCGCATTTTAATTTCAAGGGTTGCTTTTGGTGATGTAAATACCCGACGCCTTGTAATAGTTAGTTTAATTTCCGCAATTTAATTTCCGCAACTTATAAACTGTTAGATGTTTGGTAATAGGGTACATGCCATGAGAAGCGGGAAACTCTCTACATATGGAAGACGCGTGTAAGCAGAAGAGGATAAATTTATTTTCGAAAAGAACACCATCACAAGGTACATTAAATGCCACCTATGCTCTTTTTCCCGCTAAAGCACTCATGCTTTCAAGGGTGATTAGATTTTTGACATCTCAGAGTCTAATCGAAATGATATTGGGTATATCCCACTATTGTCTAGATATCTAAGAGACGTTTGCATATAAATAAACAGTCTCCCCAAGCCGAGGGACTCCCGCCTATAATAAAAATTTCGCCTTTAGTTGAGGGACTCGCCTATAATAAAAGGCAACCTTTTGCCGAGAGACTCACCCAAAGTTGAGGGACACGTACCTATAGTAAAAAGGTCACCTTTAGCTGAGGGACTCACCTATAATAAAAAGTTTTCCTTTGCCCGAGGGACTCTCCTCAAGATGAGAAACTCACGCCTATATAAAAGATCATCTTCAGTTGAGAGACTCACCCCAAGCTGAGGGACGTACCTCACAAATGAAAGAACCCTTGAAAATGCTTCGCCCTTAAAAAATTTCTCGTGCTTGAAGGATTATGTAGTATTATATTTGTGAGAGTCTTAAACAAGCACAGCTCGGGCGTGCTCACCTAAAAGTGATATCGCCGAGGAGACATCCTTACAAAATAATTGGCTCACCCTTGGGACTAGTGACATGTATACTATTTTTGTCTCTTGTTAGTCAGAGGAGAATGATTCGACCATGTTTCCTTTGGAAATAGAGGGTCAATAACTTCCCCTGGTCATGAGGGAGCGGTTGTCGCCCCTAAGGTTGTCCTAAACCCTAGGCCCCCAAAATACTCTTTAAATACCTCTCCCCAGGGGGAGAGGAGAAAATATCTAAAACCATGCAAATCACACCCTACATACGCGAAACACACCATTTATATTACATAGCCTTTTACTTCACGTCCGTAGGTCTTCTACACCACTGCAAAATACCACTGTACAAAGCTTCTTTCCACCATGGGCAAACCATAACCATCGTAGAGCGTAATATACATATTAATGACTCTGAGTGCCCATGTCCTTGTAGAGGATAATACGCACACCTTACTATATCCTCCAACCCTATCTTAGACAATTCATGACAAAACACAACATTAGTATAACCAAGAATAATATCATCCACATAAATTTGAACTATCAAAATTTTATTCTCATCCATTTTCTAAAGAGTATTGTATCAACATGACCTCTTTCAAAACTATTTTCAATAAGAAAATTACTTAATCGATCATACCAAGCTCCAAGAGCATGCTTTAGACAATAAAGTAATTTGTTTGAATTTGAAATTTTTGTATGGTTTCATAGAATCCTCAAAAACATATAGGCGACCAATCACACACTTTTTCAATAATTATACAATTTAAGAATGCACTTTTTATATCTATTTAAAAAAGGTTGATATCATAATTAGCAACATAAGATAAAACTAATCTAATAGCTTTTATTTTATCTACATGACCAAAAATATCATTGTAATCAATATTTTGTTGAATATATAATTTTGATAACGAGTCTAGCTCTATTTCTTATCATTTCTCCTTTTTTATTGAGTTTGTTTACGAAAACTAACTTTGTTTCAATGGTATTTTTTCTTCTAGGCGTAGAAACTAGATTCCATACATCATTCTATGAAATTGATTAAATTCTTTTTGCAGGGAGACTATCAAACCATCATCACTTAGAGCCTCATCTACGAAATATGGTTCTATTAAGAGATAGCAATCACGTAAAGGAGTAATTATTTTTGAATGAGAATTTGGTTTTGAGAGGATCTTCATTACTTTCTAGAATAATCTCTCCTAGAAATAAAGACTTATACTTTCATTCATTTATAACTAGGATTAGAGCCATCAATATCATCTAGTTCACTAGAGGCTTCTTGTCAATTGTCTTTTTAACTATAGACAATAATGCCAAATGCAGTTTTTCTAAAGCATTAATGTAATTCTAGCTTCACTAGTATGATTATTTTTGCAAATTATCAACTATCTTTGACATATCTTAGTTAAGTTCTTTATAGTTAAACCTTAAATGTATTTATTCTTCAACAATGAATGTTTTTTTTGTTATACACTCTATAAGCTCAAGAGCTTTCAAAGTATTCTAACAAGTATATTTTTGTACTTTTGGATCAAAATTGTTAAGACGCTATTTGATGTTTAACACATAATATTACAATCCTACCCATTTCGAGAAATTAGTCGATGCTGTTGTGCGCAAAAAATATTTAATTTAAAAAAAATACAAACAAAAGAAATGATACAAATTTTCCATCCAATAAAACACACTATAAACATTTATTGCAAGTATTGGAAATCATGTCAATAATTTGTCTTCAAAATGTGTAAATTAGTTGAGCTATTAGTATTTGGTTTTTATTAAATTTTTTAGTTTTTTATAAAAGTATATATTTCATTTATAGATTAGAGTTTTGGAATTTGAGAATAAAACAAAATAAGTTATGTTAAAAAACATTAAAAAAAAAGAGTGGAATCATAAAGGAACGTGTGGAAGAAAGAGCAGGGAAACAGTATGCATCACACACCACTCAAGTCCGGTCCCTATATCTGTTCCAACCAATAACATCTCTTGTTTCCATATCTTTATCTCTTCATTTTCTATTACCTTTCTTTCTCGTAACCCAAATATAACTTCCACTCTATATCAATATTAATAATAATAAATAAATAAATAAATAAATAAATAAAGGTGAGAAAACTGGCAGCAACACCAACAGTTTTGTGAGTGTGCAGCTGGATAGCTGATTTGGTGGTTCTAAATTGCTCAAGTATACATTTATCTTAAACAAAAGCTGGAATTTTTTAAAGTATTCTCTATCTATTTACTTTGTTTTCAATTCAAATTTTCTGGTTTTCATTTGTTACTTGCATGTTGAAACCCTGAATGATTTGTGTGTGTGTTTATCAGACAGAGGTTGGGAAGTTTGTGAAAGCAATAGGGGCAGTTGAAACTGTTAAGAATCATTGGTAAATTTGATAGTATAATAGGTAATAATGGCTATTGCAGCAGTTATTGGACTGAATGGAGGAAAGAGGCTATTGAGTTCATCTTACCATTACTCAGATATTGTAGAAAAGTTTTCTCATGCCTCTGACTTTGCCTCCACACAGTATCACCTTCCTTCTTCAAAATCTCCTCCAATACTTGCAAAGAAATTATCAAAGTCTCCTCCAACTTCTCCACCATCTCAAAGCCACGATCACTCCATCAAAGCTCTTAAGGAACATGCTGTTACAGATTCAGAACAATGCTTTCAGGGATACACTTCTATTGACATAGACGTGGCAAATTATTCTTTGGAGGCTCTTCTTTTGCTGCAGAAGTCAATGCTGGAAAAACAATGGGGTCTTTCTTTTGAAAGGGAAAAAATCCGGAGGAAGGTGGCAGTCACTTGTTCTGGTGTTTCAGCCAGGCAAAGAAGAATCAATAGCAAAAGGAAGATCACTTCTAAAAGTGCTTCCTCAATGATGCACCTGAGGTCCACAATCAGTCCCGAACTCATTCAAAACCGTTTTAAGGGGTATGTCAAAGGTGTAGTGAGTCAGGAATTGCTCTCTCATGCTGAAGTTGTAAAGCTATCTGTGAAAATAAAAGCTGGCCTTTCCTTAGATGAGCATAAATCCAGGTAACAACTACTTTTCTTCTCTGCAATTTCTTGCTTGAAGCTATCATTTTTAATACTTTCAAAAACTTACAACTTTACTCTTCCTCTATACTCAATGTTAAAGCCCAAGTTTTCTTGATAAGTTTATGCATAATATAGTGAACCGTACATTTATGGACCTGTATCACGACCATTCTCCATGCTACTACTTAATGTATTCATTTTTTATCCTTCAAGGAAATTCTGTCAGATAACTTTGTAATTTAATTTTTGACTTTTTTTCTTCTAGTTTTACATTCACACTATTTTTAAATATTATTACTTGAGTTTCAGACTGAAGGAAAGATTAGGATGTGAACCTTCTCATGATCAAGTTGCAACTTCGTTGAAGATTTCCCGTGCTGAACTACGAGCTAAAATAATAGAGTGCACTTTAGCAAGAGAAAAGTTGACTATGAGCAATGTTCGCTTAGTTATGTCCATTGCTCAAAGATATGATAATATGGGAGCTGAAATGGCTGACCTTGTCCAGGTAATATAGACATCTTCGTTTGAACTTAATATATCTTGTTATCTTGGTTTCTTCCTCACCTTATTTTCTCTATAGGGTGGTTTAATTGGATTACTTGGCGGGATTGAAAAATTTGACTCTTCAAAAGGGTGCAAGATTTCAACTTATGTTTATTGGTGGATACGGCAGGTGAGGTCTACATTCCTATGACAATTTTCCAAACATGCTTTTTTGTACGGCTTCTTATTAGACATCTTGTTCTTTTAAATACAAATTGTCATAAATTCACCATTTTATACCTCTGCGGATACAAACATGATAGATGGGAAAATTCTTTCTTGAAATCTTTTAAAGTAATTTCCGTAAAATACCGCTGTTTTCAAATTTTTACCACATTGCTTCTATTTTATAATCATCTTTAATCTCTTGCAGCCATAATTTCTGCATAACCTTAGGTTGAGAGAATTCATTTTCTGCATAATTTAATCTTGTTTTTGTTTTCGTTAGTTTTGGAATAGTACATAATTGTGTTCTGAGAAATCAGCACTAGGGGATTTGCAACTAAAATTTGTCTGAGCTGCGTCCCTAAATAATTTTTTTATTCTGGTGACAGGGTGTTTCAAGAGCTCTAGTTGGGAACTCAAGAACATTAAGATTGCCAACTCATTTGCATAACAGGTTATATTTGATCCGCAATGCCCAGAATAGACTTGAACAGAGAGGCGTCACTCCAACTATTGATGTAAGTAAGCTAAATGTATAGCAAAAAAGCAACTGCAATCTGTATCACTATTTCAAAAGTTTTAAAGTAAGCATGCCTTAACCGTTCCCTTATTTTGCAGAAAATTGCAAAATGCCTTAATATATCTCAAAAGAAAGTTAGTAATGCTACCGAGGTAACAAAATCATTGAGAGTTACATGTGCCACATACAATTAATTTAATATCCTATTGGCTATTTTTCATTTGTTCAATATCTATATATATGTTTTGTAGGCTATCAGCAAAATTTTCCCCCTTGATAGGGAGCCATTCCCCTCTCTGAATGGTCTTCCAGGAGACACTCATCATAGTGTAAGTGTCGCATAATACTTTTTTCTACATGGACTCGAGGAAGATCTTTGGATTTACATCTTTCTTCTTTTTTATTTTTTCCCCCAAAATATCATCTGTCTCATTCTTTTCTGTTAGAAACAAGAGACGAAAGAGAGTGAAGAGAATGAAAAGAGAGAGAAAGAATGCAAAACAGAATTTGTTATTGTTAATTGATTCAGTTACAACAGATCTTTTATATAGAAAGGATAAGGGATAGAAATGGAATTAGACACTAGTCTAATTCCCTTTTGCTAGACTATTACAAGATTGCCCTTATATCTCTAATACTCTCCTCTCAAACTTAGGGTGGTTGATAAGTTTGAGCTTGTCAGCAACTCTAAGTTTTGTTTTAAGAAACAAGAATTTGTTAGTGGAGAGTGGCTTGGTTAACACATCAGCCCACTAATCTACCGCAGGAATGTGGGAAACAATTAGGTTCTTGCTAATCACTTTCTCCCTGACAAAGAAAATGTCAAGTTTCATGTGTTTGGTCCTTGAGTGCAGAACAGGGTTGTGAGCTAGAGACATTGCACTTAAATTGTCACGCAGTATCTTGGGAGTCTGATGGGTGATGTGTAGTTTCTGCAGGAGAGATTGAAGCCAGAGAATCTCTGTTGTAGCTAAGGCCAGACTTCTGTATTCTGTCTCAGCACTTGATCTGGCAACAAGTGTCTGCTTCTTTGCCCACCAAGTAACAAGATTAGGACCTAGGAAGATGTAGGCCCCAAAAGTGGACCTTCTATCGTCAGGATCTGAGGCCCAGTCTGCATCACAAAGGCCTGTGATAGTGAGAGGCAGAGTGAGGTTAGCAGGTGAGAGGAGTAGACCATGTGAAACTGTCCCTTGGAGGTATCTGAGAATTCTCTTAACAACTTTCCAATGATGCTCAAGAGGGTTTGAGAGAAATTGACAAACTTTATTGACTGCAAAGGATATCTCAGGTCTTGTTACAGTAGCATACTTGAGGACTCCTACTACAGACCTGAAGTAGGTGGAATCAGCAACTTGGGCAGAACCTACTTTGGAGAGTTTGGTGCTTGAAGCCATAGGTGAAGCAATCCCTTTTGCAGTAGCCATGTTAGTTCTATGAAGCAAATCCCTAATATACTTGCCTTGAGAAAGCAGAAGAGAACCATTGGGAAGATGAGTCACCTCTATGCCTAAAAAATAATCTAGTTTGCCTAAGTCTTTGAGAGAATATGTCAGATTAAGTTTAGTAACCAACTGCTTGATGAAAGAAGAAGAGGAGCCAGTGATGATAATATCATCAACATAAACCAACACTAAAGTGTAGCAGGATGGTGTGAGCATCATGAACAAGGAGGGATCACACCTGCTGGAAGTGAAACCCAGGAGCCTGTTTAAGCCCATATAGAGCTTTGTGTAGCTCGCAAACCAGACCAGGCTCACCCTTTTCAAAGCCAGGTGGTTGCACCATATACACCTCTTCATTAAGCACTCCATTTAAAAAAGAATTATTGACATCAATTTGCGGTATGGTCCAACCTTTAGAGATGACAAGTGTTAAAACAGTCCTCACTGTAACGGGTTTCACAACTGGTGAAAATGTCTCAATATAGTCAAGGCCTTCAACTTGATGGAAACCCTTGGCAAACAATCTTGCTTTATATTTATTAATTGTCCCATCTGCATTTTCTTTGACTCTAAAAACCCACTTGCAGCCAATGGGTTTTCTGTGATCAGGGGCAGGCACCAAAGACCAAATGTGGTTTGTAAATAATGCTTCATACTCAGCTTTCATAGCAGTTTGCCACTCAGGAATGGATAGAGCTTGTTTATGTGAGGTTGGTTCCAAGTGAGTGAGAAGGAGAGCGGGGTGCAACCTAGATTGAACAATACCATCCTTAGCTCTAGTAACCATGGGATGAGTCTTAAGAGGATGAACAGATGGAGCAGGGGAGAAATGTTCAGTGGATGAAGAAGAGGCTGTGCTGTTGCTAATGACCACTGAGGGGGACTCAGTACCAACTTGAGGAGACACGGCTGAAGAGCCAGCAAAAGCTGTTTCATGATGGACGGAATTTTGAGAAGTAGAGGCAGACTGGGAGGGAGAGGCAGGCACAATGTCAGGATTAATGCTGCTGAAAGAAGGCTGTCTGCTAGGAGTGAAGTGAGCGGGGATCATGGACACACTCTGATTAGATTCTTGAGAGATATATGGAGAACAAGAGAATTGTTAGGTGACTGAAAGTGGGAGTGAGAACCAACAAATGTGAGGGGGATAGGATGTCTAGATGGAGACCCAGAAAAAGGAGTAGTGGAGGATGTAGAAATAGATTTAAATGATGAGTCAGGAAATAGGGAAGGGTATAGGAACCTGTGCTCATTGAATATTACATCCTTAGATACAAAAATTCTGCCAGTGGGATCAAGACACTTATAGCCTTTGTGGGATGGAGAATAGCCTAAGAATAAGCATTCCTTGGAATGCATAGCTAGTTTGTGAGAATTATAGGGCCTGAGATGAGGAAAACAGGAGCAGCCAAAAGCCTTTAAGAACTTGTAGTCAGGAAATTGAAAATATAGTAGGAAAAAGGGTGATTTATTATGCAGGGAAGGAGATGGGAGTCAGTTTATGAGGTAGGTAGCAGTGAGGAAAGCATGATCTCAGAATTTTAAGGGTAGGTTAGCCTGAGCAAGAAGGGTGAGACCTGTCTCCACAACATGTTTGTCTTTATGTTCCACAGATCCATTTTGATGATGAGTATGTGGACATGTGACTCTGTGTGTTACGCCATGCATGGTTAGAAAGTGTGTCAAAGGTTTGAATTCACATCCATCATCTGTTTGCACAAACTTGATTTTAAGATTGAGTTGTAGTTCAACAAGAGCTTCAAACTGAACAAATGTGGCAAGTGTATCAAATTTTAATTTGAGAGGATAGATCTAGGTATAACGACTATGAGCATCAACATAGGTGAGAAAATGTGAATGACCAGAAATGGAGGGAACTGGTGATGGCCCCCACAAGTCACAAAACACAAGTTCAAGGGGTTTGGAGTAAACAGTTTTAGATGAGGTAGATGGTAATCTATGTACCTTACCCATGCAGCAGGCATTGCAGAAGTCAGAAAACTGTTTATTAGGAATTGAAAGAACTTGTTGTAGAACCTCATGATGAGGGTGACCCAACTTGTGGTGCCACAATTTGTACAAACTAGAAACAAAATCTAAGCTCCTATTATTACAATTGGAATTGAACACAAAGCTAGATTCCAAAGAAGGATGTTGAGAGCTAGGTGACTTGCAAACAACACTGAGGACTTGAGAGGAAGCAGAAGGAGGAGTGCAGTCAAACTTATATAGACCATCACTCCCAAGGGAACCACTTAAAAGCACTTTAGAAGTATCCTGACATTTTACAAAACATGCATTAGCATGGAATTCAAAGAATACAACATTATCTTTGGCAAACTGACTCACACTTAGCAGATTTTTAATAATGGATGGAACAAGAAGAAGATTATTCAGTTTCAAAGAAGTGTTAGGGCATAAATTTGAAGGAAAAGTCATAGAGCCAAGAGAAGTGATGGACAGACCTTGGCCATTGCCAATGTGAACCTGATCATTACCAGGCAGAGATACAGTATCAGTGAGATTTGTGGTATCTGGAGTCACATGATGTGAAGCTCCTGAGTCAGGATACCACGCCTGATTGTAGAATGAAGAACAATCAGTGCCAGCAATCAGTGCCTGAGGCCTGGCACCAGAGTACTGAGATGCCATGATAGGCGCCACATATCTGGCTTGGTTCACATTTGAAGGACTTGGAGCTCTAAATCCAGGTTGAGTCCACACATTAGGTTGACTAAAACCAAAATTTCCAAAAGAAGCACGAGCACCATAAGGGGGATAGACACCATAAGAGTCTTGAGAGTGTCTATAGTAGAAGTAGCTAGCATCATGACCAGGTTAGTAGCATATCTGACATTGCACAGAGTTTCTGTAGCCGTTGCGGCCACCACGTCCTCTGAACCTTCCTCCTCTATTGTTTCTGCCACGAGAATAGCTACCACGACCATAGCTTTGGAAATTTCCACCACTGGAGTCAGTGATATCAGGATTTTGAGGACTGAGATTGGAAGTTTGCACATTACCTTGAGTAAGGTTCACAGAAACAGTCTCAACAACTTCTTTCTTGGATTTCTTCACTCTAGCTTCTTGAGTGAGGAGAAGCGATTCCAACTCATCAAGTGAGATGAAATCAGACTTAGAGTTAACAACAACTACAACAGAGTCAAATTCCAATGGTAACGCCTCAAGAAGCAATTCAATTTGGTCACGATGAAGCCAATTGACATTAACGTATCTATGATAGTGCGAACGCGAGCAAGAAATTCAGAGATGGTTCTAGTACCTTTGGAGAGGGAGCGAAGCTCCGATCTGAGTTGACGTGACCGAGTCTTCATTTGCGTATGGCAGAACGCATGAATTTCTTCCCAAACTTGTCATGAATGACGAAGAACGAAACGAGAGAGGATTGAATCGGAAATCGTGGATAGCAACCACGTGCACAGCAGCGCATCCTGTTCTTCCCACGTGACGTAGCTAGGGTTCTCACTTCCGCGTCGCGATCGGCAACAGTGAGGTACTCTTCCGGTATCTGAGGTGATACAACAAATCGCACCATTTTTGTGCTGCGAAGAACTCTTTCAACTTGTTGTTTACACTGTCGATAGTTGTTCTCATCGAGCTTGACTGAGATCTTTTATTTGAAGTTAGAGTTTGCAGCAGTGGAGCTGTCACCGCTTGCGGTGAAAAACGGCGACGGAGAAGCCATGCGCCGCCGATGATCAGAAATAAGCTCTGGATACCAAGAAACCAGAGAAGAAAGAGAGTGAAGAGAATGAGAAGAGAGAGAAAGAATGCAAAACAAAATTTGTTATTGCTAACTGATTCAGTTACAACATATCCTTTATATAGAAAGGATAAGGGATAGAAATGGAATTAGACACTAGTCTAATTCCATTTTGCTAGACTATTATAAGATTGTCCTTATATCTCTAATATTTTCATGTTTTTGCTCACAGTACATTGCAGATAAACAACTTGAGAACATCCCATGGAATGGAGTACATGAGTGGGCTCTAAAGGTAATAAAGAAAAATATCTGAATTAAACCTGTCTTGATTGCAGAGATTGTTTGAATGCCTTCTATTCTGGAATGCTCTTTATGCCAATCATTCTTTAAGTATGCTTGTGTGTAAATTTAATGGTGGAGTATGTTATTACATCGGGTCGGGATGATAATAAGCATCAAAAACCAAAACTTATGTATTAGAAAGGGTGATTTTAGGACCACAAATTATATTACATACTTTTTTGTTTTATGAAAACAATTGGGCCTAATACATAGCAGAGCTGGTAGGACACCTAGTCATATTCTAGAAGAAAGTAGGGCTAATGGGCGTTAGTTAGTGAGGGTGTTGTTAGCCATGTGATGCTGTTAGTGAGAGGGAGTTTTGTAGATTGAACGAGGGGATGAGGAGAGGCATTGAGAGGGTTCTTCCCATGAGAGTGCTAAATAATTTGAAAAATGATGAATGAGAAAAAAAAAATTAAAATCTTTTGTATGCACACCAAAGTAATGATAATGTTGATATAGCTTATCTTTTATGTTTCGTGAAATTTAAATTGCAGTATTTCATGTTATAAACTCCCATAAATAATAATAACACTTGTAAATATTTATAGGAGGAAGTGAATGGACTCATTAATGCGACCCTTGTGGAACGAGAGAGAGAAATTGTTTGTCTTTATTATGGACTGAATAAAGAATGTAAAGAATGTCTTTCGTGGGAAGACATAAGTAAACGGTGAGTTCATATTTGACATTCTGTTGCTTTTTTTACTTAAGAGATCGTTCAATGACTCATGTGTTACATTATATCAACAGGATAGGTTTGTCGAGAGAAAGAGTAAGGCAAGTTGGACTTGTTGCATTGGAGAAACTAAAACATGCCGCAAGGAAGAGGGAGATGGAAGCCATGCTTTTGAAGCATTGATATGATGGACTCATCACATAGACATGTATATATACAGAACAGAAAGGAAAGAGGACGATATAAGGGAACATTGAAGGTTCATAAATCTCCTAAAAAACTTGTCTTTTGGAGTAAGTATGTTTTATCATATATGTTGAAGGATTAATTATATAGATATCAACTTTCCATTTCAAAATTACGAGTTGACTGTTTCCTAGGAAGACTTGTATTTTATCTAGAGATTCACGACCCCGTTACAATTATGTGGATAGTATGAATAGCATTTAACATATACTACTTGTCAATATGTCTATCGTAGGTATAGGCTGCAATACCAAAGTATCACTTTGAGGTGTTAAATATCATTGAACTTCTCAGTAGACTAGTTTTAGTTTTATGCTCACGACTCACGAATTTTTCTTCAGAAGAAGTAAAGAAACATAGTATATGTATAGAAGTGGAATTCTTGACCGGATTGAAACTTGGGCATTACTTTTCCCACGTTTAGCGGAGGAGAACACCCTATAGAAGTTCGAAAATGTCCCTCCAATTTTAGAAATACATCTTTGGACGGATTCATTTGCACCAAATCAATGTGTAACGGAGTAACACTCCAATTTTAGAAATACGTCTTTGGACGGATTCATTTGCACCAAATCAATGTGTAACGGAGTAACACTCATTTTGTCATAAATTTAGTCTGGAGTTGTATTTCTGGAATAATCTCATGCACTCTATTATTCGTAAAAGAGTGACACTCTTATTTTGGCATAGTTTATTTGGAGATGCATGTTCGTAACAAAATACAGACTTACACTTTTGTACTCACCCTTTAGGTATGAAATTTTGTTTTTGAGGGGACAAATGTTAGACACGATGTTGGAACAACTTGTCCAAAAAATTAAACTAGATATTGTAACACCCCAATTCTACCCGGTGGATAATAATAAAATCAGATTTCATAAATAGGATGCTACATTTACAACTTAAAATCAAACTTCATTTAATCGCATACAAAACAGATACATAACACCTAATTCAGATGAATTGATAACAACCTGGTTTATTCTTTAAAATCAAACAACTTTTTTATTGATAAGCAGTGGAATCTACATACTCAACTTCAATTAACTTAACATCTCTTATTCAACTAAAACAACATCAAGTCAACAATTATTTTGTATAATCAACCTAAAATTTCAGCAACTGAAATAATAATCAACAACTAAACATCAAACGTTCATCTCCTCGAGTGCTACGTATCAGAGCGACAACACCGACTCGAACTGACGAAGGTAACAACTATCCTTCTTGATTACCTGCACGTTACCAACAGAGTGAAACATTCAAGCTGAAGGGGTGAGATATCAAACAATATAATATAATGTATGATAAATATTACATTAGAATCAGTTCACACATATTCACTACTTCTTAAGTTTTAACATCATAAGCATAGTCAAATCAACCGCACAACGACTCAAAATACAATACCGAATGCAACTCATCTTTATGCAAATGCATGTGGTACCAATGGAGTAGAACTCCCATCTTAAAAATCTGCCAATAAATAGAGGCATCAACAAGGCATAAGCCTTCTTCGCAGTTTGCCAATCCAGGTCATCATAGAGTATGCAAATGTATGACTCAATGAATGCACTATCACATACTCACAACAATCATCATCCATCACAAGGCATAAACCCACATGACCATTATTACCAGTAAATAGAGGTAACTCATCATCATTTAAAATTCCCAGCAACTTCGCATTATCAACAAGAATTCACAGTGACAATCATAACAACACAACAACTCAACATAAATCAACATTGGCCATAAGCCTACCACATCAATCAACGATTCAACATCAACTCAACATAATTCAACTTTGGCCATAGGCCTACAACTTGATATTTCAACAACAACAATTAACACAACGTTGACATAAGCCTACAACTTAATACGTCACAACAACAATATCATATCAACAATATAATTTGACAACAACATCGACAAGAAAAAAACACTGGCCATAAGCCTAATAATTCAATACCACCAGCAATTCATATTTTTCAGCAAAGTAGACAATACACCGCATCGACCAAAATATACTACAAACGCTCCGCGAATTTGTTCGAACAATTTGACTATTTCCGATTAATTAATCTTTCGCTAAATTACCAATATTTTCTACTCTGCTGTTTACCTAGGGATTTGGTAAACAACCGCTGATCCTCCAAATGGTTACTTATTTGGTTACTCGCAGGATCGATCAGATTGATCCTATGGACATAGGTTGATTTTGAAGTTTGATTAATGTGGATAAGGCTTTAAGTAAATTGTTTAAAGTAAATTGCATAAAGGAAAAGGCTTGGTAAAATAAACAAGGCTTGAATGTAAAGGTTCGACAGGAATTTTAAAGGGAAAAAGCAAGTAAAATACTGGAAAAGTAAATGACTTGAATTGATTAAATTGGTGTTTCACACATACATTTCTCAACAATTCGTTCGCTCACACTGGGTACTTGAATCTAAATGAGTGACTATGTATCTATTGTGAACACACGCGAGAAACTACACGTCTACTCCTATTTATACAAAAACATTCCAAGTAACCGTCGGGCAGTTACACTGCTTCGAGATCAAGCCACTTGTCACGTTCTCCATGTTCGACGCTCCAGATCCTTGCACGTTCGCACGTAGTAACTGCTGGAAACCGTTTTCCCTCCAAAGCTTTGAATTTCAAACTGCTCCACTCTGGATCATCGAACACCTTCATCAAGAGACGTCTTCGACGAAAACTCCTTCGACGTCGAAGGCAATCAGCCTTCTTCCTTGGAAGAAATCTTCTAAGTATTTTGCCATCTTTCGACGGTCATTTCGACAGGCTTAGCCAGTCGAAAGCATCTTTCAGCTTTTAATGGCTGCTATCAATCAAAACAAAGGTGTTGAATTTAGGAGCCAACAAATTGCCCCCCAAGAATGCCTTATTTCGACTCTGAAAGAAAAAGGCATTCTTTGAAAACGCCATTCGACATCTGTTTTTCCACGCTTAGTCACAAGTTAACTTGTGCACTTTCTGTTGCTTTTTACCAACTATTGGCAATCCCAAGAAACCATCATTGATTTGATCCTAGGACGTCACTGTCAGTACGGCGTGCAGAACCAAACATCACTTCATAATTTGTCATTATGACGAATTCAAAAAACGAGGACGCACGCTGCGTCTCTCTGTTTCTGCAGAAACGGCCAAAACAACAGGATGCTGCCACGCGTCCCACTAATTCCTGCAGCATTAAATGACATTTAATGCCCTCGTTATTGGGAATTTCTCCCACTACTATAAATAGTAGTGAATATCCCATTGTGGGACTTTTCACGCACACTAGCCTTCAAACTCCCTTGCTTTCTCACAAACTTGTTCTCTTTGCAGAAAAACTCTTCCTTTTCCAACTTCATCTTCATCCTCAACAATGGCTTCTGCTTCAACTGCCCCCAAGACTAACGCACCAACTGAACAACTTGCTAAGCCCAAGGTCTTTGTAACTGCTCCGGTAGTGAACGCTACAGGGAAACGAAGGGTCCCTGAACCATCTGACATCTCCGTTCGTGATGCTTACTCGCGTCACTTGATGATTCCGGTTGGATACTCCAACCAAATCTTCGCCATGTCTGGACCCATGCACCCAAGCATCTCTGAAGCTCTGAAGATCAAGAGCTATTTTCCCATCGTCGAGAAACTTAAGCCAGTAGCATGCGCCAAGAAGGACGCGGGAGACAACGAAGACCCTACACACGAGAAGATTGACCTTCGTTTCTTCAACAGAAGTGTTAGAGTCTTCAGGTCCTGCCCTAATCTCACCCAGGACTATGTTGCTTGGCTAACAAAGCTGGAAAAACATCAAACTCCAGTCTGGAAGGAAATGGGCATCTTTGACCTAATAATGCTGTCGAAGACAGGCTTAAACTACTCCCCAGAGATGCTTATAGCTTCGATGTTGTTCTGGGATAACTCTCACTTCACCTTTCACCTTCCATGTGGGATGTTAACTCCCACACTCTTCGACGTAGCAGCCATCACTGGCCTTCGACCAACCGGAGATTACTTCGACCCGGAAGAGATGTCGGAGGACCAAATTGGCTTTTCTGAGACGAAGCCAACATTCACCACCTTTATCAACCATTTTCACGACAGGTCGACGGATACAGTGTCGGATGTCGAACACATAGCGTTTCTAGCCTTATGGCTAACTCGCTTTGTGTTTTGTTCGAAGTCTCTGCAAGTGACCAAAAAGATGGTCACTCTGGCCACCCAACTGCATCACCGCCAGAACATCTGTTTGGCAGAACTAATTCTGGCCAGTCTTTATGACTCCATCAGCAATGGGGTTACTCTCTTGAAACATGTCGAAGATAGGAATAGTTTGCTACTCGCTGGGCCTTTCTGGCTACTTCAGCTGTGGCTTAACGCCACTTTCGAGTCTTTCTTACCCAAGAAGACTCAGATAAATGAACAAGCCCCAGCGATAGCTAATAGACGTATCGAAGGAATTAGGCTGGCTCTACTGACACCTGTAGAAGATGGGCTAGAGTTCCAACAAACCTTCACTAACTTCGTGCTGATGTTCGCTCGAAGGAAGGAATTTGTTTCAACTATGGCTCCATTTGCCCAACGAAAGGTGGGGCCAGCATGGTTCACAAGGCCACATCCCAAGGAGTCGAGTGGTCCCAACGTTGATGAGCACACCATACTGTGGGAGGCATTCCTTACCCCAAGGATTATGCCTCTTCGATTTAAGAGTTCTAAGACTCATCTGAGTCTGCTTGCCTATCAACCCAATCTGGTGTCTCGCCAGTTTGGTATCATCCAAACTCTGCCTTCTCCCATTTTCCAAAGAGAGAAATCAATGTTGTACTTCTGCAACGATTATACAGAAGAAGCTGCTACCAAGCATATCGGAAGGTATGCTGGTCGAACAATCCTCTCGCTGTTCAACTACCAGCTTAACTTCCTTTGCT